GCAATCCAGCGTCGCCAACGCCTCCGCACGACCCGGCGCCGCGGGCTTCGGGACGCGCAGGAACCGCGGGACAGGAGGGGCGGTGGGCGCCGGCCGCAGGGACCGGCTTTCTGAATGTCTCCCGCGTATGTTAGTCCCTCCGCGACGCGGGGACTCGGCTCCGGAGCAACATCCCCTCCCGCGACCCTCCGGGAGGCTGCGCGGGAGGCGGCTGCGCCCCGGGGAAGCCAGCGGCCCGGGTCTCACTAGCGGAGGCCGCCGCGGCCCGGCAGTTACTCCCGACATGCTCCTCCCGGAGGATTTCAAACCCTCACAACAGCCTCCCCGCCCTCGCCCCCGGCCTGCCCCAGCAACAGGCGGTGGCCCGCTCCTCATTGGCCGGGCCCCGCGCCGCCGCGCGCCGATTGGCCGCGGAGCTCCGGCCCCGCTTCTGCGCTTGCCGCCACCTCCATTTTGATGGTAGAGGCAGGAGGAGGTCGGCTCTCAGACGTAGGGTGGTCAGCAGCCAGCTCGTCGGCGCTTGTGGGCTTTGTTCGATCCTTGCCTCATCTCTCCCTGGAAAGGGAGGGAGGCCTCGACGTCGAGAGGGAGCCGCCGCAGTCCGAGCTTGAAGTCGGTGAGTGGCGGCGGCGCGGCCATGTTGGCCGCCGGGCTCCCCATTGTTGGGGTCCGAGACGGGGAGCGATCCGCGAGCCGGGGGGCGCGGACCCGGAGGGGACTCCCGGGCTCGGGGGCAGCCCCCCGCCGGGCCGAGCGGGCCGCAGCCGGGAGTGACCCTGTCCGGAACTGTAGTTTATGTAGGTCATTAGAACTGGAAGGCCCTGGCACCCTGGTGGAACGAAGGGGCGGTTTGGTAACTTGGTTCCCGGACCGTCACACGGAAGTGAAGCGCGGGTCAGCTGTTGGTGGACTCGCTTGTGTACGTGTGTGAATTTACGTTGTGGCTCGGAAAACTAGTTATGGGAGTCATGGCCAAAGGAAGGACCTTGTTTGCATGGTGCGGACGGTGACGGAGGGGCGGCTGGGTGGTGTCAGAGACTGGGACTGGAACTCGGTTATTTCCTGCGGTGCGGGGAGGGAACCCGGGCCTCGCAGCGCCAGGCCAGCCCGAGGGAACTTCAGAAGCATGGTCTTGAGAAAATCACCCGTAAGCATGTCCTGGTGTGGCCAACGCCACTCTAACATTTTGGTCACAAACACGTGAGTGAATCTTCTCTGGGAAGAAGATAAAAACAAAAGGTCGTGAACTTGCACCAACACTTATAAAATTTCTGAGTGCTTAAAATGAAGAAAACCATTTTCAGAGACAGATTATTTTCTTGAAAACTTTTTGTTAACGAAGTAGCATTCTTTTAAACAATTTGTTTAGTGAATTTAAATCATCACTTTATCTTGTTTTTTTGAATTGAAGTAATCAAGTAATCTTTACTTTTCTAGCTAGGACTTCTCTCAAACTTGTGTGCTGAGGAGACTCAGATGTTGGCCTCAGCTCCTAGGCTGAACTCAGCAGATTGGCCCATGAAAACTTCTGTATTGAGACAAAGGAAAGGATCCGTCAGAAAACAACACCTATTATCTTGGGCTTGGCAGCAAGGAAGAGGACAGGTAGTGGAAATCCTGCAATCGGAAAAGCAGACTGAAAGGTATAAAGCTCACATCATAATGGAGCAAACGTTTTATAATGAACCCATCCTAAAACATACTTTTTGAACAGGTTTTCATACTGATTTGTGGGTAAGCTCATCCTTCTTAGGAAAGGATGTGCATATAATAACGTGGGATTGCTTGCTTTAATTTTTGAGTTAAAAACAATGGAAGTACAACCCAGAGGACCAATTAATGCAAAAGGTGTAATCTCTTTTGTAACACCCCCTTAAGCATGTTTTACCCATTTTCAATCCTTCCCAAGATTTCTGGAGTTAAGAGCTTGAAGATACTTCTTAGTGTTTGAACTTTTCTTACTGAACTTTGACTCAGTATTTGTTTCCACTTACAGGTGACAAAGAAGCTGAAGATGGGTGGTGGAGAGAGGTATAACATTCCAGCCCCTCAGTCTAGAAATGGTAGTAAGAACCAACAGCAGCTTAATAGACAGAAGACCAAGGATCAGAATTCCCAGATGAAAATTGTTCATAAGAAAAAAGAAAGAGGACATGGTTATAACTCATCAGCAGCTGCATGGCAGGCCATGCAAAATGGGGGGAAGAACAAAAATTTTCCAAGTAATCCAAATTGGAATGCTAGCTTATCAAGTCCCACCCTACTTTTTAAGTCTCAAGTTAATCAGAACTATGCTGGAGCCAAATTTAGTGAGCCACCATCACCAAGTGTTCTTCCTAAACCACCAAGCCACTGGGTTCCTGTGAACTTTAATCCTTCAGACAAGGAAATAATGACATTTCAACTTAAAACCTTACTTAAAGTCCAAGTATAAAATAAGATATAAAGTACTAATGTTTAAATTTAGTTTATAATAAAGTTGTCAGTTGGTCTGAAACAAATTACAGATTCACTAGGGAGTTAACCAATTTGTGTAAAACTGCTTATTAATGTATGAATATTAATCAAATTTCATCTCATTTGTTTTACATATTGTGTGCACTGTAATATAATGGTGGTTATCAGTGCAACTTAAAATAATTGAACTTGATAAGTGTTCTCAATTGAATAGCTTTTAAGTGAAAACCAAGTTTATATTGGGAATGGTAAAGGAATCAACTTTTTATATTTTTATTGGGGGAATATTGTAAAAGATTCATGGATAAGTAGATTTACTTGTAGTGAATCAGATTAAGCATCTAGCTGAGACAAGGATTGAAAACTAGGTGGACATTTGAAAGTTTAATGTCCCAGAAAGCCAAACTAGTAACACGCCAACAACATAATGCACTGCCAAGAAAGAATGTGAATTTTTAATAGTTGCATTTTACTAAATTGCAGTGATCAATGTGTAAAGGGCACTTAGGGTTTATTAGAATGAGGCACAGTATGCAGTATAAGGTGCCCTGTTTCTTAAATTGCAATGGATAGGTGTCTGCCAATAAATGCATCCAAACCATTTTTTATAGAAAAAGTATTGAGCACTTGATAGCTTTCCAAAAATACTTTTTTTTTTTTTTGTATTACAGAACTGCAAAGCTATTCTGACAGTGATCTGGCCTCATATCCCTGCAAAGCTTAAAGTGGGGAGTTGTATAATGTGAAAGTTCAAAGTACCTAGGGGAGAAGAGCCATGTAAATACATGTAATAAACTTGTAGCATATGTAAAGTCTTCTTGGCCTACAAAAATAGAATATTTTAGTATGAATTTGCTGAATGTAGAAAGACCATGGACTGTTTTTTTTATACTATGGCCTAATTTTAAAGGTCCAGAATTGTTTTTAAACTTTGCCCTCATGCTAAAGTGCCAGTGTATGTGTCATAATTGATTTGGTTGTAAACTATATTACAAAGTAAATCCTAATGTAATTAAGTTTTGTATTATAACTAAAAAAGTCTAAGCTGCTAAAAGATTTCCTACTTTTAGATGTAAAATGCAGTACAGGATTCCTCTACCCTCCAGTCTATAAACCCAAAGATTCATTTTGGCTTTCACCAGTTCTTGTAACCAATGATACAAATCTAAATTGTATTTGGTGCCAGTGAGTGGTTTTTTTGTCATAGTAAGTACAACCCAGGGGACCACTTTTTTAAGATGTAATCTCTTGCATAACACCCCTTTAGGCATGTTTTTACCAATCTTAAGGGAAAATGCTAAATATGACAGCCTAATAGCAAGTTAGAAAAGTACATGGGCCAATTAAAAAGTCCTGATAATGCCCTACTTTCTAATTTTGCATCTTTGATGTTAAAACAGGCTAAGTTATATTACACTAAATGAATTTAGATGAACTATTGCCCAAGTCAAATATTGAATATACTAAAGGCAAAATTTATGTAGTACTTATTGTACGATATGAATTTGAAACATGAAATTAAAAAATAAAATTTTTCTCCCCAGTGGCTCGTTATTATTTTGAAAACTGTTATGACTGCTGAATCTTAGAATGTACATAACTGAAATGTGATAGGAATGTTGGCTTGAAGAGACTAATATACTGTTTAATAGCTGGTTTGACAGTTATGCAATTTTTGCTAGTTGGGCTCAAGCCCCCAAAGCAGTATTTGCCTGAACTATGCAAAAGTTTTGAAAACCCAGTAAAATAGATCTTTCTATATTCTAAGATGTTTTCAGTTTCCAGAGTAAAATAGGAAAAAAGAGCCCAAATTGGCAGGAACCCATGTGTTTTAAGTATGTGAAGGAACCCTTTGAATTGGCTTTCTAATGGACAGGCTCCCAACCTATAGAGGGTGCCTTAAACTAGTTGAATAATCCCAGTAAACGCACAGCTGTAAACAAATTTGTAAGTAAGGTACTCATTTTCTTTTTGTCTGTGCATAATTTCTATGAAAAATAGTGCCAAGAACTGCCAAGTTCTCTGATGCAGCACTGCAAATGGGGTTAGCAGACTCAATAATGTGAGGGAACCTGAATAAAAAGTCAATGATAATATGAACATTTCATATTATTAGAGCTAGTTAGAAAATACTAATTGTGGATAACCTTCAGAATGTGCTGGCATGAAACCAATATCAAAGCTCATGTGAAAATCAAAAAACAGTTTACAGATTCAGTTATACTTCCAGTGGGCCTTTTAATACATGTAATTCCAGTTTGTCCTATGTTTTGATAGTGGGCATGTAAGTTTCATTGGAATTCAGGCCCATAACCTACCTTTAAATCCCAAGTAGTTTCTTCCCCCAAAGAAGCACAAAGTGGCAGTAGGGTGATAAAGGGTTTTAGGCAAGTTTCCCCCAGTGTGTTTTATTTGAATTCTCATAGGCAATTTCTTAAAATCCAAGAGAATATATCTCCAAAACTTCTTAAAAACAAATGAGGGGAACGTCTACCACGGTAGTTGTATCTGTAAGGCAGAGCAAAATCTAAAAAAAAACAAGATTTGTTGGCTCCTAGACCAGTTTATTATTTCACTCTCCAGCATTCAAAGAAATGTGATCTGCAAAAACTAGATACAAAGGCCTTTTACTTCTTTACAAACTACTGTTATCAATGAAATGAATTTACATGCCTTACTTTTTATTCCAAAAGAAAAAAAAAAACTCCATCTTTTAACACAAGGGTGAAACTGCTTTACAAATACACAGAACATCATAAAGATAACCAACACTGTTGGAAGAACGGGTAGAGGAAAAGACCCCAGAAGGCACCTTTTCCAGGACTAGCAGAATGTCTTACAGATGTCAACAGCTGAAGATAAACAGGTTGCTTACTTCACCTATTAAGTCATCACTATTTAAAAAATGAGTATTGTTCACACCTGGGATTCCTAAAAGCCCCAAAGGTCCTCTTAGTAGGATGTCATTAATTCCAAACTATTGCTCAAGTCACAGCGTTCCCATTTCAAAATATAATCCTGGGACTTCGTAAACAGTAACATGGAAAAATAAAATACAATGAAAAAATCTGTTTTGAGACTGGAACTTGGAAAGTCAGGCTATGATGAGTCTGACCCACAGAGCCTGTCAGATATAGCAATCTAATTTATAAAAGTTACCATTATATTACAAAATTGAGAAATGAAGCAGGGTATGCAAAATTATATCACATGGAAGGTGTTCTGTAAATTGACAACTTTTTCTCACCTGCAAAATGGGAATAGTATTCATTTTCCAGGTATGTTTTTGGGATTAAGCAGCAGTATATGAAAAGCATATGGTTTGGCAAATTAGGTGCTTGATGATATTTATAAGTTTTTAATATTATATGGGAACAATCACATATAACAATGCACTGTAATTCAACAGGAGCCCAAACCACATGGACTTAACAAAACCAAAGACTAGTAAAATAAGAGAGGTTATGTGGCCACTAATTTTTTTTTTTATAAAGGAAAATCTCAACCAAATATGCAACTTAATTCTACTCCCTGGAACCCATCAATTCAAAAGGAAATGGAGAGGGAGGTAGAGGACAAAACACGCAGGAACTACAGATACTGTTTTGAAAGATCACACAGGACCTCTACCCTTAAGAATTACCAATTCAATGTTCAACACTAATGATAAAATTATGTAAGGGTATAAGAACTCAAATCTGTAATCTTTACTTGAAGCAAACTCTACATTCCATTATCACTTTTTATCTCCTTGAAAATAAAGCTGCTTTAAGAACATTTTCCAACAAAAATCAATCAAGTCAGAATTTATGGACTCTAACCTGAAACTTAAGTGCCTGGGCAAGTTAAAACAAAATTTTTATAGGGATAAAAATACCTCAATTTTAGACCTCCTTTCAGGCTTGTATATTCTACCATATTTTCAAAATTCTTTTAAATTTAAAGGCTTAAATTCCATTTCCAGATTTCAAGATGAAAATTAAATGTGAGGGAATCAATATGATAAACTTTATATCCTAATAAGGAACTAAGGAATCCAAAACATTTTGTGACACTACAAAAGGTATTTATTCACTACACACAGAACATGTCCCCTGTAAGATGTACACGTAAATGACTAAGAAGTATAATTTGGTGAACATTTTTTCAATTACAGAACATACTAAATCAGCTGGGGTACCAGCTGTCTGCCTCCAAATAATCTAATTATAGCACCCAGGATCTCCTTTATAGCTAATGCAAAATTAAATATTTATTTTTGGGATTACTTCCTTATGTGTGTGATTGAGGCAGAGTTAACAATTTAGTAAAGTAGTATATTACAGTCACTACACAATAAATCAGTTTATTACAAGTTAAAACATTTTTCATTATTTGTACTAATGGGATGCAAACAAATAGATACTTGTAAAAGGCAGAAAACCAGAAAATTACTTATCTTTGATAGTATACTGGGTTTTATAATTATATTAGGATATGAATGGTGTAAAATATTGTTATAATACACCTCAAAACAACAAGGCCATATTATAACAATTCACTAGATTGTGCTCAGTAGACATTTATTGAATAAAGGAATTATTATCCATTCTTTCCAATTATCCAGTACAATGCTTTGCCCATGATAAGGGCTCAATAAATATTTGCTGAACATACTGACTATGAAAGAGGTGAGAAGAGATGGGCCCTCTCAGTTGGATGTCAAGTATAATTGGAATTTACCTGGGAAAGAGAGTGGTTAAAGAAGATGTAAACTGCATGTGGTACAAGTAAATAAACTCAGATGGCAACAAAGCAAACAAGCAGAAAACACTGGCACCAGAATAAACAAAGGCAAGACGTGCCAATAATGGCATAAATGGAACTGACTTTTAAGAGATAACCAAGAAAAAGTTTATATTGGACCATACCTTTTCCCACCCAATTCAGTTTGAGACAGACCAATAGAGGCACTGTAAGAGACTATGGCTGTCTTCCTTGATATTCAGACATCCTAGTTTCCAGTAATTTATTATGGACCTGTTACCCATGAATCAATATAAACCTGTTCATATTTAGGGATTAGTTTCCACAAGTACAAAGTTGAATTTCCTTTTATTTGTCCTAAAATGCTTACTTTCAAACTCGAAGGGACTTCAATTATTCCATGTAGTTTTCGATAATTCTTTTATCTTTTCAGACCAGAGTCAAAATATTCGTACAGTATTCATACTGCAGCACCTTCCACCCACCCTTTGGTCGCTTGAACTGCCCTTCTTTGGTTCTTTTTCCGCTTTCAGATCTTTCTTGAAGTGTAGTAAGCAGAACTGTACTGGGTATTCCAGCTGCAGTTTGGTCTTAAATAAAAGAAGGATGTTTGTCAGTTTGGTTTTCTTTATTCTTCTCTGTGGTATACAGGATTTTGTTAGTTGAACTGGATGTAGCAGCTTACTGGGTCAAATTTTCAAGAGAATAGTACAGTAGTTCCCAGGTCTCTCCCCTAGGTTGTAACTTAAGAGCTCATACTCTATGTAGCACTATCTCTTCTTCTTGCTTACTTTGCTTAAAAAAAATGCAGAGGGGTCTCAGGTAAAAAGAGGTGAAATGTTAGCCCTCACTTGTGTGTTGATATGACTATTCAATATTAAGCCCAGTGCCAGACACAGAAGATTCTCAATAACTGTGAAACCCATCAATGATGTGACCCAAAATTAGTTCACTGGTATGAAAAGATCCTCACTACATATCAGTTAAGATCCTAACTATCGTGAGTTCAAATGCAGTATAATCCTTGTGAAGCTGTTAGGTAAGCTATTTAATAAATAATATAAAAGCTTCTCAAGAAAATGGTGTTGAGTCTAAAAATAAATTAACAAAGGAAATTAAAACATTAGGCCTTCTAATTCTAAACAGACTGAAAAATTTCATAGGCTCTAACCAACTTCTCTCAAATTATAGTCTGTTTAAATCTAATCCTGACTAGTCCTTTACTGCCTTTTCTTTGTGCCTCAGTTTCCTTATCTGTGACAGAGAGAAAATAAAAGCATTTTTCTTCTCATAGGGTTTTGTGGAGAGTGAATGAATCAACACACAGCCCCTTGAACAGTGTCTGGCACGTGGTAAATACTTAATAAAAAATGCTCACCAACATTCAATGAAAAAGAATTTAAAATCATGTCATAAACATAAGGCCCAATGTATCTTGTTTAGGAAGGGGGGACAGAATTATTGATCCAGCCATCAATGAAAGTATAAATTTAAAACTAGCAGGCCCAAATTTAATTTTAATATGTATCTTAACATTATCAAATAACCTCTTAGGTTAAGAGGCTTAATGAGCAATCATGAATGACATACACAAGGAGGTCTTAAATACTATGTAAAAGATGTAGACTTCTGATAAGTCCTATCATTTCCAAAGTAAGTTATGCCTAGTGCAACACTGAATAAAAATATTCCTAAATCTACAAAGGACTGTTTTCATTATTTTAGAATCATATCCAATACTATAATAATTCCAGTTAATCATTATTTCCTTCATTTTGTTTTTATTATAGCATGTTTGCTTAATTTACAGCAAGCAGAAAATAAGCTGGGTCTTGTTTTGATCCAAACATTGATGTTTTTAAAGGTTGTACACAATATTTGTTAAAAAGAACATATAAAAATACCTTTTTAGAAGCTTCTATAAGAAAGAAAATACAAAGTTTAACCCCACAACTTTCCTCTTTGCTAGAACTGCAAACTACTGCTACAGTTTTAAATAGACTTTTTGTTGTTTAAACTATACATCCAGGAAAATCTAAAAAAATTAAAGAAACGTGCATATAAATGATTGCATAGCAGAACATGAACATTAACTGCAAACAGTAAAGAAATGAAAGTTAGAAATACTATCAAATATACAAAGGTTGTAGAATCAATCCTTTAAACACATTCCACAAACAGTATTTAAAAACCATCTCTTTTGTTCTTTACAGGCTAGGCCTAGATTTCTAAAACCAAAGTTGAAGAAAATAATCCTCTAAAGGAATTGTTTCCCCACAATACTTCTTACTTCTTTCTGCAAGCAAGCAAGCAATCTGAGATTTTAAAAGATGCTAGCTTTTTACTCTGAAATGAGACTGGACATTTCAAGTCACTTTTAATTCCCTCCAAATGATCATTCAGAGAAATACTAGAAATTATAAATAGTTAATGATATTACTTCTCCATTTTTAGTCACGTATGACATTGATAATCAAAATTCAAGAGGTGGCTCTTGCTTAAAACTAACCCTTTTTCCAAAATTATTTTTAATTTCATGGCACCTCAGAATCATCTGCCTAGAATGGGAGTGTTCTCTTTCAATGTGCCTCACATTAAACAAACAGAGGTGTGAAGAGCAAGCCTCCCTCATAAAGAGGTAAGCTAAATCTGATACAAATGCACAAGACGAGGGCTCTAAGCATCAAAATTCATTCTTTTATGCTATACACGCACATACACACACACACACACCCCTACTTTGAAACAATTTACTTGCATCTAACAGCAGTAAGAAAACTAAGCAACAATGCCTCTTAAATTTTAGAGTAACTATATTAAGAACATTCTTTTCCCCTTAAAAATTATTTGTCATCATTGACCTGCTCAAATTTTAAGGGGAGCTTTTCTGATGTTTTCATGTTCCAAACCTTCATAGAAACCAGAAAGGAAAAAAAAAAAAAAAAGCAGTGAAGGCTCCATGTTTCAGTCAAAAACTTAATCTCCCTGAAAATGTTACTTAACCAAGTTGGCATCATTCCCCAAGACAGTGGGGTTAACAAAAGAACTATTCCACACTGTATCATAAATAAACTATTATCACGGGCCTAGACATCTTGACAAGACATAAAGGTCCACCCTGAACCTAAATGTGTCTGAGCAGTCAGTGTTGTACTGTGGCTACAACTTCAATTTTGTATCATTCCATCTTATTAGCAAGCTACATTTCTAGGTTAACAGTTTCTACCAAATATGGATATGAAAGTTTATTTTTAATAAGACAATGTTGCAAATTATGGTCAACCAACATCTTTCCACCAAATACTTCAAGCATAAAAAAATGAGAATCTTTACAAAAATATACAGAGACACCACAAATTGGTAGCTGCCCATAACATTAAACAAACTGGACTCTTAAGAGTGGCTTCTCAACAGCATATCATTTTTAATTATAACCATTGCCTGGTACAGGGAAAACTAACAAGTGTTTTTTACGCATCATTGCAACATTGTATTCCTGATAATTTAAGTATACCAAACTATGAGTAAATGAATGATACATGCCTAAAAATTATCATGGTTTATACTATCAGTGGCCACTGGACTTAGGACTAGTCCAAGACCTTGATCTAGATTTTGACCTAGACCTAGACTGTGATCTTGACTGAGATTTGGATCTAGGTGGTTCTTTTTTCCTTGATTCCTTTTCATATCTTGAGCCAGACTTATAATGTGTTTTGGAATCTGTTTTAGAAGTGCCTCTAGTTTTGGTGTGAGATGCAGACCTAGAACGTGATTTAGCCTTCATTTCTTTCTTGGGCTGGGACTTGGACCGTGATCTTGAATTGGATTTAGATCTTGAAAAAGATCGATTTCGGTGTTTGAATCTTTCAAAACAGAGGAGAGATACAATTAGAGTAAAAATTAGATTCTATATTAATCAAATTTGTTATTTTTAGAGCAAAAGTTCACTCTGAATTGAAAAACATGAGTCTTTTTTCAAAGCAAAGTTATTTACCTATCATTGTCGGAATGGCTTCTGCTACGCCGTGGTCTTCCAGTCGGTCTACTGCTAAAAAGCATATCAGAAAAAGCAAACAGTGACAAATGTCTACTTATAGGTCTTAAAACTTCAATCAAAACACTATTTTAGTCTCAACAAAGTATTCAACACATAAAGCATACAAAAAGATAAAAATGCTAACAAACACATCCTCTTGTTTTTGAGACAGGATCTCATTATATTGCCCAGGATGGCCTTGAACTTCTGTATTCAAGCAATCCAACTGCCTCAGCCTCCCCAGTAGGTGGGACTACAGGTCCATGCCCCCATTCCTGACCACGAACACATCTTTTTATTAAAAACAGATCACTGTACAAACTTACTTTCTAGGACTATAAGATCTTCTATAGTTGTAATCAAAAGACCGACTTCTTGACCTCCTCCTTTCATAACTTCGGCTTCTAGAACGTCTGTATCTGTCATAATCATCATAGCGCGAAGAACTGTACACATTCCTCCCTTCCTTGGCTTTCATTTGATTTGGTGCTAGGAAATACACAGAACACAAATATTCAGAAACATTTGAAATTTTATTATTTACATCCTTAAATTGTGGGGGGGGGGGGGGGGAAACAAGCCCACATTCCCTTCTTTAATACCAAAACAAAGGAATAATGTGTTTTGCAATCTGTCTTAGAGATCCCTTTAGTTTTGGTAAGATGCAGATCTGAAAGATGACTGATAGAGCCTTCTTTTCTTTCTTGGGTTTGGTCAAGGTTATAAATATTAATCTTGGGTATTTATTTTCAAAGATGTGTATCACAAGACTACTTTATGTAAAAATGACACCATAATTTCCTTGGCTTATGCCTTATTTATACCTATATCTTTGGCCCTCAACTCTTACCTCACTCAATTCTATATAGAAACTTTATGTATGATTGTATATGTATATATAAAAAACAGGGAATATCTAGGAACCTATCACCCCATTCCAGAACAAGAAAATTAACAACTTATGTCTACCTAAGTGCTTTTTTTTTTTTTCTTCCAGTTTTAGGTAGACACAATACCTTTATTTTTTATTTTTATGTGGTGCTAAGGATCAAACCCAGAGCTTCATGCATGCTAGGCTAGCACTCTACCACTGAGCCACAACCCCAGCCCTTTAGCAGCTACCTTAATCTGTATCCTCTAGTATCTTCTCCAGGATCAAATAATGGTTCAGCCACAAGGAAGTCTACTTCACCCCAGTCTATACTCCTACCTCATTGAAATACAGCTAAAACCTGGTATATGCCTTGCATAATAATAAAAACAGAACACTAAAATAAGATCTATTCTAGGTTTAATCTGGATAGCCCCTCCCAGTCGATCAGTTCACTTCCATAGCCATGCACTCACATAACAATTATACTTTGAAGATCCTTTTTTTTTAAAGCTTCATTTTTCAAAATACGTTTGGTACTGAGAATCAAACCCAGTGCCTTGCATGTGCTAAGCAAGCACTCTACCACTAAGCTACAACCTCAGCCCCCTTTGAAGATCTTTACAACAAAGAAAATGGCTCAAGAGATCCAAATGTTATAAATTTTTATCCTTCTCAATTTTACTCCCAGTATATCACAGTTGATAGTATTGATCAACTTTTGATCTTTTGGGGTTGGAACAGAATATATTAATTGCAACAATGGTTTTCTAGAAATGATTTAAACTTATGTTAGGCATAATGGTACTTACTCTTTCGATCTCCCTGTGCAAACTGTATTTCGATTTGACGTCCACAAATCCATTTTCTGTCCAAATTATGTAAAGCATCTTCAGCATCACGAACATCCTCAAATGTGCTAAATGTTAAGGGGCTTGGGAAATTTTGCAAACTTTGATAATGAATCAAAGTTCAGTTGGTAGGTCTGGAACAATTCATAATGTCCTAATATTCTAAAAAAACCAACCAAATCTTACTTGTTACTTAGGCTGATTCAGCCATTAATATGCTTCACAACATAAAAGTACTTGTGATTTTCTAAAGCTAATCTTTTAGAAAAAACACATGAATACATGTTATCAGATCTGTTAGAGCTAAATCACCAAGTTATCCTATTAAAAAATTCCCAGAGTTTTAAGAATTAACTTTATAAAACAAGAAAGAGTAAGAAAAACAAGCCAGTGGATTCTATCCTGGGTGCCAAAAATTTCTTGAAACCAAAACAGCTTTCATATATTTGTTTTAAAGAAAAAAAAAAAAGGAAAAGGCCAATAGTTCTTGTGTAAGCAAGCAATATATGCCTTACCTTGAGAAAAGATGAAAGCATAATTTCAAATGTATATTGCTATTTTTTCCCCAGTTATATCTAATATTATTATTTCAAATAGTTGTCTTCCTTGAGCTGCACTAGGAAGACAGGCTGCTAACCACTTGTGGGTATCAAGACAGTCAAGCAATACTCAAAACAATCACTATACCAAATGCATATTACATCCATGCAGATGGTAAAAGCATGCTATCAAGAAAAAACAGAACATGATAAGGATTCCTAAACTGGAAAGCCCCAGCCATGATACTAAATATATAGCTTCCTGCAAAGTAGTTTTGTTTCCAACTTGATAATTTCAAGATAACATTTACCAGTGTCAAATAGGATCTGCTGGTATTCATTTTTGATCTGAGAAGCTAAGTTGCTATGTCTTTCCCACTCATGTCAGCAGAACTCTGAGGGCTAGTTATTCTGTTCAAATGTAGCTCCTTTTCTAAAATCATTATTCTAACAGAAGTCAAATACACATTCAAGGCAATGTTTGATATAAAAGGTTTGGAAAGGGAGCCAAGTTTTGATTCGGATTATCATTTTACCCCATCAATAAGTAATTAAGTAAGTAAATAAATAAATGTCCTTAAGTATGTCCATTTCTATTTCTTAGATTTGAAAACATTAGCACACAAGATTTGGAGAACTTATTTAGAACTAAAACATTCCTGAAGTGACATATTCAAGACTGATAATATGAGTTACTTTAATTTCAGATGAAATGGTCTGCCTCAGCCTTACTAGACTTCTCTGTGTTCTGAAAAGAATTAAGGACTGTAGTGGGTCCCCAGATCTCTCTTCCTGGGGCCATTGTGTGTAAGTTAAATGGAAGGAGGTTTGCTCAATTTTTAAATAACCTGGCATTGAAAAGGCTGATGAAGAGACTCAGGACCTATAAATGAACACTCCTCAAGGTTAATGCAGTTGGGATCCAAACTAATCAAAAGGAATAAGCTCACTAAAGGGTATTCTACTTCTACTTTGCCACCCCAAGAGAGAATACTTAACAACTTTAAAAGGGCTATAAAAAATTATGGGCTGGATGGCAAGGTTCTACACTGCTCCTGTTAAGCCAAGGATAGGAAGAGAAGGCCAATTGGGAAGAGTCAGATAGGAGAGAGCATAGCAGGAGGGGCAGCCAAGTATCACTCTGATGCCAGTTATGAAGAAATTTGTACTTCAGGGTCTTTCCAAACATGAAACTGATAAGCCTGTGATATATTTCTTTTTTAACTATTTTAAGACCATAGTCGAGACTTACTGAACATGTATTTAAAAAATTATCACTTTGATTCCTTTGTATAATCACACTTTTCTAAAGGCTCAAATATCACCACTTGAGTCAAAAGTACTGCTGTTCTTGGTTTTCACACCATCCCAAGCCACGTAAAATCAGATCAAAATTATAAGTCAGAATGTATCACTACCTTTATTTACCAAGCCATCCATATATGGATATATCTTCTCTATAACAGTTTTGCAACTAAGTTCCACACTTGCTAGCCCTGCAGGAGTAACTTTGGCTTTTCCCTGTTAATACTTACTAGGACTCTAACTAGAAAGTTCTAAGGGACTTACTGAATATTTTAGTAGTAAGAATTCTTCCTGACCTCAAGTCCACAGCCCAAACCTTTGTTTTTGCAGGGAGATGATTTCACTGAAGGGAAGAAGCAAAGTCACCTGAAACTCTGGGTCAAGGATAGATTTCCCATACATCCTGGTTAGGTATCCATACTAGGGAGAAGGCCTTCTGCAACCCATTCAAGGCTAACTGATCATATGTGCTAAAGCAGTGCAGGGCCTACAAGCTTCAGAGTTAAGCTCCAGAAGTTAGGAATTTGTATGTTCCCGGAAGCCATTTAAAAATCTATAAGGTGTTTCTAGTGGATCTGACAGTATACGACCACCAGAGCTGTTTCAAGGTAGTCCCCAATGCATGCACTTGTCTCCCTTTTAAGCAGGGCTCTGTGGCTTGAGCCCAGAAATTCATGCTACTTCAAAGAGCCTCTGACCACCTGGTCCAAAACCAAAATATGCCGAATTTAAGCTTAACAATGTTACATCCGGTTACACTTTAACTTGATAAGCTAAGAGAGAGTGCATTTATACAAGACCACAATCACAACATCAAAGGCCCACACAAATCAAGTTACAGGTTTTGTCACTAGACCAAACCAAAATAACTTTTGAAAATTAACTGCTTATAAACCATTAAAAAAAAAAAAAGAAAGAAAAAGAAAAGAAAAAGGAAAAGTTATTCTGTAGGATACATCAGGTATGACTCCTTTAATCTTGGCCATCATTCAACTTCATCTTGACCTTTAACTCTTTAAGTGCTTGTCAGAAGGACTTGTCATGAGATGCTTGGCCAAATATGACAGATGGCTTTATCTTTAACTTTGAAAAACAACCTTTTCCCCCTTTGTAGATAAAGCGAGGCTTTGTCTCCCATTAGGCTTGTCCTTCTTCCAGCTTTTCTGTATTTTTTCTTTTCCCAAACTCTCCCTTCTCTTCAAGCCTGATCCTTAAGAGGTCTTTGGCTTGTCTACTTGCCTTAAGTGTTGAATTCTACTCTAAAAGTTCTTTCATGCTTTCTCTTTGGGGTCGCCATAACTGTACAGCTTTACATTCTGAGGTAACAACAGAGGACAGCAAATTAGGGGACAATATTAAAGAAGTTTACCTCATTTTTATACAATTTGTTTTTGATCAAGTGATTCAAATTAACAAACAAGAATACTAAACTTTAATTGCTAAGCACAAGAACATATTAACTTTTAATTTGACTTACATTAAAGGTGGTAGCAACCAGAGTGTATTCAAATTTAAATCACACATTATAATCACTGATTTGAGTTTCAGCATCATGAATGGGAATTTAAATATTTAACTATTTTTGGATTAATAAGAAAATAGTAAGAGCAATGTGAGTCAGAATTAATTTTCAAAAATTTGAAGACATAAGACATTTATTAGAGGACAAAAATAAACTGCTTTTTAGATGTTACCACTTACATAAACTTGAATTTCAAACTTCAACACCCCTCACTAATCAGCATCTGAAGAAAGGATATTGAACATAAGCAAATCCTCTTGGCCGTCGAGTGTAGAAATCAAGTGGAACATACACATCGACTATAGGACCATAACGACCAAATTCACGCCGTAAATCTTCAGACCTAAAACATCATGAAAAGAACTCAAATTTTTATGTTCATGCCCTTAAAAGAGTTTTATAAGTAGTAATTATTTGCCAATATTCTTAACAGAAGGAACTGTGATTAGTAACACTGTGTGACCTTTGGGTCTCAGTTGTATCCCTGCCCTAACTGACCTGAAACATTCTAAATTTTGACATTAAGAGTCAATTGTAGGACCTGGGGACATAGCTCAGTTGGTAGAGTGCCTGCCTCACATGCACAAGGGCCTGGGTTCGATCCCCAGCACCACAAAAGAAGAAAAAAAAGCCAACTGTAATACACAAAATGTAATGGCAATATCTTTTTGATAAAGGAAAGCCAGGATCCAAGCATTTGAAAGATAAATGCAGTTTATGAGTCCATTCATTATTTTACATCACAACAGAAAAGACATGTAAGGAAACAATCAGAATTCTTAAATCTACAGCCTTCATTTTTCACAAAAGGTAGAGCGGTAAGGCTCTGGGTTTTTGGTTTTTCTTTTCTTTCTTTTTTTTTTTTTTTTTAACGGTATCAAATCAACTCTAATACTCTGGAAAATACCGAACAAAATTACCCCCAAATTATAGTGAGTCAATTAATTAGTGGTAGATAAGGTGTGTGGGGGACAGAAACAAAGCCTCAAATAAAAACAACTTTTAAACATTGTGAAAATGACAAAGGAGAGATTCTTCTAGATGCTAAAAGAATTATTGCTTTTCTCCCCTACATTGTTAAGACAGAAGAAAGTAAATCACAAAACGCTAACCGAAAAACACTTTGTTTGCACGTTATTTATCAAATATTAAACATCGTCATGTAATAACAGCTCCTCCAAAAAAATTCTTTAGGCAATTCGAAGCAATTAAGGGGGCTGCTGAAAACAAAGCCTATTTAAGCCCAGTCTCTAAACACTACAAATACATGTAAAACAGCGGCGGGGGAAAAAAAGATAGCAAATGCTTTCCTCTCCCTCAATCCCGTTATTTCAATGCAATTTTCTTTTTTAATTAAAATAAACCAACCCACCCGGCTGCTGAGCGAGGGGGCGTGCACCCCGCAGAACCGGGACTGAGCTCTCAGGCAGCGGGCGGCGGGCAGGCCGAGCGGAGGGCGCGGGCAGAAGGCCGACCGCGGCGGGGGAGGGGCCGCGCCGCCACGCGGCCCGCACATCCCGCGCGCCCTGCGGCCGCCCGGCTGGGCCCGATGGCCCAGGGCGCCGCCTCGCTCGGCGCGGCCTAGTTAGGGCGCCAAAGCGGTCGCGGGACCCGCCATCTTCACCCCGCCCTTCCCCCGGCCCGCCGCCGCTCGGTCCTCGGCGTGCGCCCGCGGCCTCCTCGCGCAGGCCCGGAATACCTGCCCTGTACCTACCTGGTGTCGTCGGCCACGTTCCTGACGAACAGAGACGTATTGGGGGGGCGCAGGTAGCGGGACATGACGGCGGCGCGAGTCTTGGCCAGGGGCAGTAACGGGCTCAGCAAACCGTCCGCGGCTCCGGCGGCGGCTCCTCAGACACAGACACAGACACACACACAGCCAGAGGACTCCGCTACGGCAACCACCCTCTTCTCGCGAGACTTCACTCCCGCCTCCACTCCCCCTTCCACCTCGGCGCAACGCCGGGCCCGGCAACGGTTCTTTCCCGCGAGATTACCAGGCGTGCGCCTGCGCATGCGGAGGGCTGGAGCGCGAGCTGCAGCCTCGGTCTCGTTCATTGGCTTCTAGCTTTGCCTCTTCCCCTCCCTTCCCAGCCCTCTCTTTCTTTCTTTCTTTAGTGATTCTTTTTCCCGCCTTTACTGGATTGCACCGCCTTCTCCTCCCCCAGGAAACAAATGGCTTGGCCCTTAGGCCAAATTTTACGTTTATTGCTAAATGGACAGAGGTTTTAGCATTAGAATTCAGAGAGACTGCCCTGTTGTGCCTAGGCTTTTATTGGATTCCTGACCACCAAGATACGAAATTTATCGCTTGTATTGAGTATACACACTCCCCGCGCAGCGGTGCTGGATTGCGTGCAGCCCACACCTTTCTCTGTCGTCTCCACCTATCCCCGCAGTTCCCTCCTGAGGTTAGGCCGACCAGTCCTTACATTCTAATCACTGTTATCGTGTAGACTGTATTTGCTGCTAATGGCTTCCTGGGTGTGCAAAGTTCCTGTGTTGTAGTGGTTCTCAAACTTGTTGGGCTCCCTCACACCTGGAAGACCCCAAAGAGGTTTCTTTTTTTGTTGTTTTTGTTTTCTGGTGGTTGGTTGTAGTTCTGGGACTTGAAACCAAGGCAAGGGTTCTACTATTTAGCTACACCCCAGCACACCCTCCCCCCATGTTAAATGTTTGTTACATCTACAATTACCGAATTTGAATTTAAAATGAGTATGTTAAGACTTGGTAACACGCATTCCACCACCCTTCATCAAACATCATATGTAGCCTCTGAAAAACTCCATTCTGCATTTGTGGAGAATATGAGCATGAAAAAGGCAAATAATATTTAGTCTACTTTTCACTTTGGAAAACTCCTGAGAATTATTCCTACTCTTATCAGACACGAGGGAGGGGCCTCTTGTTAGAAAATCCCTGGCATGCCAGGACCAAGCAGATAACAGGGACTCAAGTTTTAACTAAATGAACTTTTGTTTTAGATAAAGGCCCATAAAAGAATTATTTTTGCATCAATCAGTATCCAAGGCAATTAAGTGACTTGACACTTGGTATAGAGCTCTGTAGCAGAGCTATTGTTTCTACATTGATGTTTCCCCAGAAGCTTTGGGCACGTAATTTATTAAAATATTTATTGTTACCTTTTAATTGTCATATGTTATGTTAGACGCCAGAAATTCAGTGATAAACAGCATGTAACTTATGTTTCTAGGGGATAGATAACCGAAAATAAGCAGGTAAACAACTAAAGTAGTTGCAGATTACAATATGAAAGAAATGGTAATGGGTTTCTTTGTTTTGTTTTTAACTTCTAAAACAGAGGGCTGTCAGGAAGGGCTTGCTGAGCTAATCTTCTCTGGTATTTTGTTACATGTTTTTTAGTGGCAAGGAAACAGACTTGTAGCTGGATGTGGTGGCGCATACCTGTAATGGCAGTGGCTCTGGAGACTGAGACAGCAGGATCTCAAGTTCAAAGCCAGCCTCAGCAACTTAGTGATGCCCTAAGTCTCAAAATAAGATTTTTCCTAGTTATAAGTATTATATGGTTATTGTTAAGATTTGGGGAGTTGAAAACAATTTTTTTTCTCTGGTACTGGGAATTAAACCAGGGGTACTTTACCCCAGAGCTACATCCCCAGCCCTTTATATTATTATTACTTTTAAAAATTTTTTTGAGACAGGGTCTTGCTAAATTGCTGAGGGCCTATGCTAAGTTGCTGAGGCTGGCTTCGAATTTGCAATCCTGCTTCAGTCTCCTGAGTTCTGGCACTACAGGTGTATGCCACTGTGCCCAGAAGGGATGAAAAATTTAAAGAAAAAGAAAATCACCTGTGATCATATTCGCAGAGCTAATTACTATTATGTGTTTTTGATGTATTTCTGTACACTTACATAATTGTTAAAATTCAAATCATACTACATGTACAGTTTTGTCATTTTCCCCAACCATATTTATAAAAAATGTCTTCCCGTGCTTACTTCAGCAGTACATACACTAAAGTTGGAACTATACAGAGAAGATTAGCATAGCTCCTACCCAAGGTTGATGGCAAATTTAGAAGTGTCCCATATTTTTAAATAAAAAGGTGAAAAGAAAAATATCTTCCTTGGCCATTAAATAGTTTAATAAATATAATTTTTAGCCCCTAAGTCCCAAGTTTTAAATTCTATGAATATTTCAATGACATTGATACAGATAAATTAAAATACATTTGAAATTATAGCCTGCAGCTTATTATATAATTCATCATCACTAATATTAATGATATAATGTTCATGGATATAATTATAAAATAATCAATAATTATTAATATGACTATGGTTATCAATTTTATTGCTGTTATTAATTATCGCTAATCATTTGTCCCATCTGGCAGGACACATCAACGTGGGCAGCGAACCTAGATGGGCAGGAATGAAGGGACAAGAGACAGGAAAGGATGACAGCAAGACAGTAGTTCTGATCAAGCTGCAAACTTTTATTGTTCACACAGGGGTATTTATATGCTGGGGATGGGGAAGCTCTCTAATTGCTGGATGTGGGTGGTAAAACTGCCAGCTGCAAGATGTCTGATGATCCTGATAACCGCAGGATGTTCCAGGGAGATAGGTAGCTACAGGATGTCTCCCAGGGGGCTGTCAGGCTATTTTTTGAAGGAGAATTTCCTTCTAGTCCCTGACAATCATTCACCTATTACTTTTATCTAAATAACAGAACTCTAAAACCGAGGTTACTTCAAAGTAACCATAAGTGGTAAATTTGTTGCTTAATTTAAGTTTTTAGGTGTTCCTTAAATGGACAATGGGACATAATGGGTTCATAGTGGCTGTATCAACTATCAGTTGAGTTCAATTTCTAGCAATAAAATCCTGGAATAGGGCTGGGGATATGGCTCAAGCGGTAGCGTGCTCGCCTGGCATGCGTGGCCCGGATTCGATCCTCAGTGCTCTCTCGCTCTCTCTCTCTCTCTCTCTCATTCTCTTTTTTTTAAAATATTTATTTATTTTTTTAGTTATCGGCAGACACAACATCTTTGTTGGTATGTGGTGCTGAGGATCGAACCCGGGCCGCACGCATGCCAGACGAGCGCGCTACCACTTGAGCCACATCCCCAGCCCTCTCATTCTCTTTTTTAAAAAAAAAAAAATCCTGGAATAATAATAGTCTTGATCCTGTTAGCTAACATGGAGAATTAAAGGACACAGCTCCTTCCAAGGGCGAATACACCCCAGGACCTTAGCTACTAGCTACCAGCTACTAAGAGAGAGGGGTACCCCTCCCTCTTGGGGTACCCCTCCCTCCCTTCTCACTCTCAGACAGCCCATGAGCCTCAGAAGCCAGGTGCACCATGGAGGCCAGAATGCCCTCGCCATGACCCTCCAAGGAACAACACAAAGGACAGAAAAGGGCCACCAACACAGCACATTCCCAGGGCCCTTCACTTCTTGGTGGCACGACTTGCGTTTTCTTCCACGTCCCAACTATGTGTTCTCTTAGCAGCTGCAGCGACACATCCTTATCACAGGGCAAATACAGACTGTGCACCTCCGGATGGACCCCCTCTCTCTCCAGGTTGACGAGCTTGCCCAGGACCTGCATTAGGAAACGTGCCCAAAGCCAATTAGAATCTCTAGACTCCAGCCCACCCCAACAGTCCTCACACAGCAAGAAAAACCAGCTCCCTTCCTTATCCAGAATCATCTAGACATGTTCAAGGTCAATGCTGTGTCTCTTTTCTCTAACAAACAAGAAATCCCAATGAAGAGTCTGTCCTATGGGGAATGGATCTTTATCCGATTCTTCTGATGAAGAACTTGAGAAACCACGCAGCCGGTAACATAGATGCCAGGCATTTTTCTACGCAAAGGGCGAGGATGGCGATCCAAGATGTAGTGGGAGGCTATGGCTTTGGAGGCCATCCTGTTCATAGCTTTCAGTTATTGTTATTTTAAGAGGCAAGGATTGTAGCCCAGTGGTAGAGTGCTTGTCTAGTATGCATTGGGCCCTGGCTTCCATTCTCAGCACTGCAAAAAATAAGAAGGAAAATGTCTTGCTCTGCTGCCCAAGCTGGGTTTAACTCAAGTGATCCTCCTGCCTCAGCCTTCCAGGTCAATGGAACATAGACATGTACCACTGTGCCTGACCCACCCTTCCTTCCTTCCTTCCTTCCTTCCTTCCTTCCTTCCTTCCTTCCTTCCTTTCTTTCTTTCTTTTGTACTGGGGATTGAACCCAGGGGTACTTTACCACTGAGCCACATCCTCAGAACTTTATATTTTTTATTTCACCCTAAGTTGTTTAGGGCTTCACTAAGTTGCTGAGGCTGACCTCAAACTTGAGATCCTCCTGCCTCAGCCTTCTGAGTTGCTGGAATTACAGGTGTGCACCACTGTGCACGGCCTTGTTTTTTTTTAAGTCACATATATTAACCCATTTAATCCTCACAACAAATTTATAAGCTAGATTATTGTTATTCTTTTTATTTTATGGAAGAGGAAACAGGTCTAAATAAAATTAGGAGATAGATTAGAGGTAGATACATCTCAGTCCTTTTGATTTTTATTTATTTTGAGATAGAGTCTCACTAAGATGCTGAGGTTCTGGCTCAGTAGCTGAGGCTAGCCTCAAACCTGCAATCCTCCTTCCTCAGCTTCCTGAGTTGATGGGATTACAGGCTGATGCCACTGTGCTCCGCTCACTCACCAATTTTAATATAGTTAGTTTTAATAGCGCTAAACTGCCTATCGTGATTAGGATCCAACTTCAGAGGGTAACCACAGGTCAAGTACAAAGGATTGTCTTGGGTTTACTGAAAGGCATCTGCTCCTTTTATGAGTGCCGCTAGGCCTGGGGTCAGAGACTGTTTGAAACAAACACAAACAAACACAAAAATTCAAGTTTCACTGACTTCCCCTTCCCTGACAGCAGGAGCAGGGAAGTCAAACTCAAGTGCTCACCTCCCTGGTATCCAGCTTAGACCACAGGGGCCATGATGGCTTCCTAGCCAAGGTCCTGCACTCCCTGACTTCCCATGACCCTGGGTGGCCCTGCCCCAGCAAAGCCTCATTCCTGTCACACCACTGTCTTCCTGCCTATCTCCAGCCTGAGAAGACCCACATCACAGGAATTGGCCTCTCACTTTACATTTATGGACTTGGAGTCCCAAGTGAGGGCTCAGCACAGCCGTAAGGTTCTGGGGCATTTCCCTAGTCCAATCAGTCCTGTTTCCCAGGGTTCTCTTTCCTTTCTTTCTAGCCTCAGACTTCCAACGCTCTCTGCATCCTCTTCATTCTCAGCTAAATTCATCAAGAAAATAGAAACAGGAGCAGAGGAGCTCCTGTTGCTGCCACCAACAGCACCCCCAGGGCGGGAGCCCCTTGTCCTCTGCCTGTCCTTTTCTTGCAGAGAGGGACTGTCCCTGACATGGAAGGCCAACTGCTTCCCCAGCACTGTGCCCCTTAAACTACTCTTTCTCCTGCATCATCGATTTCCCTTCTCTTCTGGGTCACTTCCATGAGCAAAAAATACGCAGTCAGGCCAGGTGCTGGTGGGCACACCTATAATCCCAGCAGTTCAGGAGGATTGCGAGTTCAAAGCCAGCCTCAGCAATGGCAAGGCGCTAAGCAATTCAGTGAGACCCTGTCTCTAAATAAAACACAAAACAGGGCTGGGGATGTGGCTCAGTGGTCGAGAGCCCCTGAGTGCAATCCCCAGGACTTTCCTGCCCCCCCCAAAACAAAAACAAAAACAAAAAAACATAGAGCCATGGCTCCCAGCTCCAAAGTGCTAGAACCTAGGTGGAGCAAGATAATCTGATTTTGGAACTTGATTCTGACTTGCCCTGAAATGTCTCCCTGGTCTTCCTAAAAAGTGGATCAGGGAGGGTTTAGATAATGGGCAGGGCTGGAAAAAAGGGCAAGAACTTTTGTCCTAAAAGATATTACTGAATTGCCAAGGGGTACTGTTCCTTTCAGGCTGGTTATCTAGGCTGACATGTAACAACTTGTATTGTGCAATAAAAGCCCAAGCCAACGGCCAAAGAAGTCATAGAATGTGGCTTTAGAGGTCACCCTGTTTAGTCGTTTTCTAAGCCACAGAGCTTGTTTATATAAATTCTTATCAGAAACCAAATATATAAAGCCATCCCTGGGGGGCTTTCCTCCCGTACCTGTTTGGGACCTTCTGTAGTCCAAAAGGCCACGGATCCAGTTCAAGCCCCCCACCCCCCTTTATTTTTTTAAATTTTTTTTTTAGAGAGAGAGAGAGAATTTTAATATTTATTTTTTAGTTTTCGGCAGACACAACATCTTTGTTTGCATGTGGTGCTGAGGATGGAACCCAGGCCACACACATGCCAGGTGAGTGCGCTACCGCCTGAGCCACATCCCTGGCCCCCCCACCCCCCTTTAGAGGCAAGGAAATAGGATCCCAGAAAAGGGAGGGACACACCCCAGCTCTACACCACTGTGTAGGAGAGTTTGTTCTGGGACAACTGGCAGCCAGTTGTTGGAACTACATATTCATGTTGACTTCAAACTACAGCTTCTTTGAAGAAAATTTGTAAAGGCCCTTAAACATTTTATGTTGAGTTTAGTTAAAATTAGATATTTTAACATTAAGTTTATTGAACTGTAGTTTGCATATGACAGCTTGCACACATTCCAAGCATACCTTTCAAAGAGTTTTGAAATTTCTATACCTGGGTAAAAGCTATCTTGATAAAAATAAGGATTTTTTTTCCCCCTACACTGGGATTGAGCCGAGGGCCTCGAACATGCTAGGCAAGTGCTCTACCACTGAGTTATAACTTCAGTCCTTTGAAAAGTTTTATTTTGAAACAGTGTCTCACTAAGTTGCACAAGCTGGCCTCCAATTTGTGATCCTCTTGCCTCAGTCTCCCCAGCAGCTGGGATTACAAACCAGTCCACCAAACCTAATGCAATGTGGGATATTCCTGTTGCCCCAGAAGTTCCTCTGTGTTATGTCCCACTCAATTTCCCTTCTACTTGTGGCCCCAAGGAACAACAAATATATTTTTTTTTTTTATTTTTTTTTTTTTTTTTTACCTTTCATGACA